CGTATAAGTGGCTGCGCAATGCGTGAAGAATCCATCAAGCGTATGCCACAAAATTTCAGGCAAAGTAACGCGTGTCAGATTTTACTTTGTGTGATAAAGCGAAAGCACTCGGAAGCGTATCTCCTACTCTTTGAATAATGGAAATCGTATTCAGAGTCAAGTCGTCCCTGACAGTGGAATACCATTCTCTTTCGTGTGCTTGGGTTAAAACCGTGTCACAATCCGACACAAATTTCAATGTCGTTTGATGCCATGCAAGAAGCCACCAAGAGGTTGATTTTGAAACGTGTTGTCAGGGTGGTGAAGACCTGGTATTATAGGTCGTTCAAATACAGCTCTTTGCGGATATATTCAGAACATTCGGTCAAAATACGGCAAACTACAGCGATCGTAAGCGGAGATATTTAGTCATCTCCAGTTCAGCTGAGTTCATGATATTGTGCTCTGGACGTGTATCCCACCGAGGCTGATTTACCAGTTCGGCGAATGGATGTCGGTAAATGCGCATCTTCCATACAAATCAAGAACACATCATCAGTCTTCCAATCATCCCGGACAGTTTTTGGGAAAAGGACGAAGGGAAAGTGAGCTGTCGAGACCAATCTAAGGTGCCTAGCCTACACTTTGAGAAAAACGATTTCCGCATGTTTAAACCGGACTGGTACAGAAAGTTGATGTATTAAGCTAGTCCAACAGTAAACAGGAGAATTTGTATCATAATTATATGTACCTTTATGGAACATATCGAGCAGAAGAATTGGGTGATCTGCCAACTTGTGGCGTTTTCAGCGTCAGTGACAAGCCCGAAGATGATGGCGGTGAACCAGTTGGCCATTCATGCCTCACGGGTGTCACACGATATGTTACACTAGACCATCAGGAAACCGTCAGGGAGGTTGAGTAATCTAAATAATCATGGGATTATGGTTCACATTTTGAGCCCTAGTTCACCAAATGACGGATAGATGCTTCAAAGACACAACTGTGTTTTATTAACTAAACGAATAAAGGTGCATTTATCCTTACACCTACCAGACGTCCACATTATTTACTCCATGTTTTCACGGAGACAATGGATTTGTTCCTGTTGGTCACTTAAGTTGCATCAGACTGTGTGCAAACTCCAGAAAAACGAAACTTCGTGGAAATACACTGTGGACTGTTTGGGGTTGATCGTGCATGTTGAACAATTTACAGCAATTGCGTAGAACGCCAGCAGGCCTGTAGGTGCGTTCCATTGTTGAAAACTTACGTTTTTCGCGTTGTTTGATCGTTTGAATCGCCATTATAATTTTGTATGCTGGTTCATTAGCACCGGGT